CCCCCCGCCAAGACCCAGATTTATGGCAAAGAGCTGCTTCTGATTAACGCAGGACCGGAGGTGTTGTGGCCTGCAGCGGAACAGAGGGCCAAAAGCGTTAGCTTCTAAATCTCTGTGGAAGCTGCAAAGGAACCCCAGAAAGAACCAGCGAGGCTTCTCTACTTCCTCACTGTTCAACTTAGAGTTATGAGGATGAGGAGGGAACCCCAATCTAGATCCCTCTAGAGACCTGACAGAATTCCCAATCTGGAAGCTCGTTGCCAGGGGAACCGGGGAGGCGGGCAGCAAGCGCTATTTTGAGAGCAGGTGGATAGCGGAGGTTCGATCCAGAGACACTGGGTGCTGCGGGTAGGAGAAGGGAGCTCCAGGGGGGGTGGATGCAGCTCCAGCCCCCACTTCTGTCTGCCCCTCTGCCCCACCCTGCTCGCCTTGTATTTGTGGAAGTAAGCACGGTGCTGGGTATTGTCTGAAGGAGTTAGCAGAGTTTCCGGTGTTGTTGGATGGGGCGGGGAAGCTGGAGACGGCCAAGGGCTGTGAGGGCATGTTGGGGAAAGGGACGGCCAGTAGTCCCAGTGCCTAGGCTTAGCTACTCTTCCTTTCCTCTCCTCTTCTCTCCTACCCCATGGCAGGGTGGGGTGGGTGGTGAGGGAGAAGCAGATGGAGTGTGGGAGCTGTGGGTTTACCTTACTTGGGGAACAAGACTCCCCGGGTCCGGAAGGGAGGCTGGAGTCATAGCAAGCATAGCTGAGCAGTGCAGAAGGCGGGCAGGGGCAGGGCATGGCCTGTCCCCCGCTCTGCCGCTGGATCCATCAGCCTTAGCACTGCTTAGGCCTAGCCAGAGTTTGTGGGCATACGTATGGCTCAACAGGAAGTGCACAGACAATCCTGAGTTAAACCCCAGCTCTACTACTAGCTGTATGACCTCTGGCAGATGGTTTAACCTCTCCAGGAGACAGGATCCTCATCTATAAAATGAGGATCATTGAATCTACCTCAAGGGGTGGTTAGGATCAAGCTCAGGGGATGTTCATTTCCCCCTCTCTGCCCCTAGCCCCCACCCCAGCTGCTCCTGTGCCACCTTCTGTTCCGTGGGCGTCCTCTCTGCCATCTGTCATTCTCAACCACCTTTGTGCTTCTTGAGCTCATCTCTGGCAGCCAGTAACCCCTTCTTCCCTCTAGTCCACCTCGCAGGTCATCTCTGAGTCAGGATTGCCCACCCCTCCTGATGGCTTAATTGTGGTCCACACCTATACCCCCTCACTTCATCTCCTGCTTGAAGGAAGGGGGGAGGTGGGAGGAGAGGGACTGGGGTGCGGCGATGGCCGAGGAGTCTGGGAAGGGGGAGAGTCTCAGGCTGTGTGGCCATGGGGAGATGGGTGTCTGCATGTGGGTGTGTCCCCCCCGTACCACCCGGCCCTCCCGTCACCCTCTCTACCCCACCCTCCCAGCCTGCAATGTGACTATCCACAACCGCTGTAAAGACACCCTCGCCAACTGTACCAAGGTCAAGCAGAAGGTGAGATGGCAGGGAGGGCAGAGGGCTGGGGGAGAGGGTAGTGAGTGTGCGGTACCCTCATGCCTTTTCTGTTCATTCCTCACCCTGTGTTACTCAACCCCTCTCCTCACCAGGGGGCAGCCCAGACCCTCCACCCCAGGCCGCAGGCCCTGCAAGAGGGGGTCAGCCTGTTGCTGTAGACACATCCCCTGAGCACTGGGCTCAGCCACCCTGATGCCCTTAGCCATCATGCCAGCTTTCTCCCTAGGGGGCCAGCCACTCAGCTCCTGCCCTGGGCCTATGGGGGTGACCCTAGGGTGACAGCTGTTCTTGGTGTCTCTCTCTTGCTCTCTGTCTCACAGCAACAGAAAGCTGCCCTGCTGAAGAACAACACTGCCTTGCAGTCTGTTTCACTTCGCAGTAAGAGTGAGTAGTGAGGATGCTGGAGCCCCCATAGGACCCTGGACCCCAGGCCTCTCAGGCCATGAGCTGTGCTGCCCCCCTGAGGTCGTTCCCTGGCACAGCGCCTTCCTCTTTTCAACTGGATGCTGATGGTGGGGTCATACGGGAGATCCGGACTCTTGGGCTTAGGGGCAGGACAGGAGAATTCAAATGGGGACGAAACCTTGGGATGGCTGGTCATCTGAGCCTGGTCACACCTTATATTATTATTATTAGTTATTTACACCGCACTTGGGAATGTTGGCAGAAGTTGTCAAGGGCCAATTCAGACGGATCTGGTGTAACAGAAAGAGCGTGGTGCTTAGTCAAAAAGACCAGAGTCTGTATATGTATACATATAGCAGATTCACTCTGTTATACGGCAGAAACTAACACAACATTCTAAAGCAATTATACTCCAATAAAGATGTTAAACAAAAAAAGACCAGAGTCCGAATCTCTGCTCAGCCATTAGCTGAGTCACCCCAGACAAGTCTCTTAACCATCCTGAGCTGCAGATTGCTGATAGTCTTATGGCGGGAAAGAGATAAGGCAAGAAAAACTCTTTATAAACGTTAAAAGTATTGCACAAGGCTTCCCTGGTGGCACAGTGGTTGAAAGTCCACTTGCTGATGCAGGGGACACGGGTTCATGCCCCGTGAGGATCCCACATGCCGCGGAGCGGCTGGGCCCGTGAGCCATGGCCGCTGAGCCTGCGTATCCGGAG